GTCCCATTAGCAGTCAGATAGGAGTGTGGCCGATCAAGTGTGACACTGAGTGGCAGCGGCCAGACACGTTCATTACGAATTTCTGGGCTGAGAAAACAGGAAAAAGGCCGAAAAAAARAAAGAAACAGAGACCTCGTGATGCCCAAACCTCACGCCCAGCGCTACTTCTTGATCGGAGTAGGATATGGGCCTGGAAGTGCGAAAAGGGGTGTGCCAAGGATTTTTGGGGAAGTGGGGGAGTTTTTCGGGGCAGCTGAGCAATTTGGCAAAGAGGGCAGATCGTTCTGGGTCAGGCGCATGGGTGGTTTACGGCCATGTGGGCCATTGGTTCCGGGGACGGCGGTTCGTGGGGATGTCCCTCTCGGGTGAACGTGGTTCCAACGAGTCGGACCGTCGGAAATTGCCACGCGGCGTTGGTCGGCGTGCGTGCGGGTTAGGGCCGCCAGGCCTCTGGAATTCCGGGCGCCGCGGGTGGCTGCGTCGTCTGCAATTTCCGCAGGGGGTACTAGGCCAATACGGGGCAATGGCTGACCACGAGACAACGTTGAGTTGAAAATACAGAAGAAGAAGATGGAAGGGAGGGAAACTTGTAGAGATAATAACAAATCCAGGGTGGACGAAGTAGTAGGTATGGTCCGGGGAGGGGAAATCAGAACACCTGGGTCGTTAGTAGTGGCATAATGAAACTCCCGAGGACATAATCGGTTCTCGGTTGAGCAGGGGTATCTTGGCCTCAGGGCGTCAGCAGCCCATGGGGTGAGGTAGTCCAGGTCGTACAGCAACTCCGAACTCTCGGATCGTGTCATCATGTCATCGTAGAGTTATGAGATGCTGAAGGATGGGCTCGCGGCGTTTGCGGTCACCATCTGGGAGCGGGTGTAAGCTGTGCGGACGAGCCGCACTTACACGCGTTCACACGAGATGACGGCTCCGTCGCGAATCCCGGATGGCCGTGTCCAATCAGACCGTGCTTCTGTAATTAGCGAACCGACACGCGGGATACGTGCTAGGGCGCAGATCTGGTCTCACTTACACGTGTCTCTGCGTGGYGTTCGTTGGGCCGGACAMTCGACGRGTTAATCGCCCCGTWATGCAAGATGCAGCAATCACCGTAGCTTGATCAAAAGAWAAGCGAAAAATGGAAACAAGATCAAAATTCCTACACTACTTAGTACGCAAAGGCGGGGGCGAGGATTGGCGAGAAAACAGGTGCAACATTCATTCATTCATCATTCCCCTATCATACTATCCTAAAGGAGAGAGAAATCGCAAAGCATGCAAGATGCAACAGCCACAACGGCTAAGAACAAAAGTGAAAATAGCATTGAAGGCTAAGCAAAATGCCTACTCGGGTTCATCAAGACAAAAAACCAAGGTCAGGGGTGAGGATCAACAAACAGACATCACATCCATTCATTCAATAATACACATACATTCATCCGATAACACACACTCATAATATATCTTAGATGGAAATCACAAGAGGCATTTGTGAGCAAAGATCYGAGTTCARATTCCGAAAACAGAAAGGAAACGAAAACATACGAATCGCCTTGAGCCGCAATCAAAATGTTTGTACACAGGCAACGAGGGAGAAAAGATAAAAGAAAAGCAAATATGTGTCCATCCACCTCAACTCTCTCTTCCTCTCTCTCTTCTTCTCCGATGCGGACAGTTCGTCGTCACGCACCAACCCTCGAAGTCGTCACCCCGCTTAGTCCTCCCGCACCCGTCGGATTCACCCGTGCCCACAGTCCGTCGTGGCCCACGTCAATCCCGCGCGTTCGATACCAGCTCGTCAGGTCGCCCGACTCCTGCTCTACTCACCTCTTACTTCGCTCATGTGCCGACCCTCTCAGATCGAGCAACCCCGAGCTTCCAACAACGGGTTAAGAGAGCTAACTAATCGCGCAACCGGAATTTATAGCGTACATGCATGCGCGAAGAACACGGAATTACAAGGACTGTAGAGAAGAGAGAAGGGGGAGGGATTGCCTACGTCTGCATGGCCAGATYGCGGCGTGGGGGACGTAGCCACGCTCCACGCATCAGTCTGATCATGCAGACCGCGGTTACCAAAATGCAGCAGAAAGAAAAGAAGGGCGGGAAAAGACGAAGCACAAGAAGAAAGATACAGTTACAATGGCGTCCGCCCAAAATTACAGTTACACATCCRATTAAAGGCGCCGACTAATCAGARTTTCRTTGCAGCCGCAAAAATGAGCGCATGGGCGCCGCGTGGCAAAAGAAAGTCCTAATTGCAAAATTCCTAAATTCCTAGCTAATGCAAAAAAAGGAGATAAAACGCAAATTCCGAAAGGAAAAATCAAAACACCGAGAACCATAGCAGCTCGACAAAATCCAAGAGGAAATTCGAAAAGCGAAATTAAAAAGAAAAGTCGAAAATGAACGAAGCAAAAAATTATCGCGCGATGTCCACGCCCAAAAGTCCGAAACCAGAACGAAAAGAAGCGACATCAACATTTATTAATCGTGCGCATGACAGTGCGCCAGCTACTGAATTGGCGAATCAATTGGCCTCCCAGGACACACCCAGCTCCGAGCCCAACCATCCGAAACGAGACGACGAAAAAGATGAAAAAGACGAGGACACTGATGCAATTTTCCCTTCATCCCAATCACTCGTAATTGGCCCAACCTTCCCAGCTCAGGACCCCTCATCGCTATCGCGCATGAAATCGCGCGGTGCGGAAAGTGGGTCGTCACATATGTGACGCCCAGGGGGTTCCAATATTTGCAAGCTCCTGCTCGCTTGTTAACACGTGTCGATCTCTCTAATCGATCGACACGCGGAGCTTCCCTTTCAATGCCATTTATCGTACGAATGCGTGGGAACGTCGTCCAACGTGGCATGCATGGTCTACTACTACTTCCTCAGGAAGGGCCATCGACAATCCAAGGAGGGGATTACACGTGTCACCATACCAACCATCTGATCACCAGCGTCCGACGGGGAGAGGGAAGGGTAGTCGATACATGGGGGCGTGACGATGGGGAGGGTTAATCGGGAAGGGAGGGAGGAAACTATCTAACCTGGCCACCGTTTCCGGAAGCTCTTCATATCGCACAATCCGGTGAAAACGGGGGAAGCGCTCGCCACTATGGCGAAGAGAGGCGAGATAGTCGGGATAAAGAGTGGTAAAGGTGCGAAAGAGTGCCGCGCGGAAATGGTCGCGGTGTTCGCACGCGGGGATGGTCCCCGTGACGATGCAATACACCTCAACCATATTGTGGCCTCGCCACTCGGCGCTCAGGAGAAGGACATGGAGATAGAAATCRGGAAGGGCGCATCGGGTGGAGGGGTGGGGATAGGCTGAGACAATGAGACAAGTRGCGTAGAAGAAGCGAAAGSTGTCGAAGGGGAAGGGGTTGCGAGGGAAGACGACGCGGGCATTGGCTTGACGGAGGGTGAGATGATCAAGGGGACGACGGAATAACGAGCAGGGACGAAGCCCGATGCCCCACATCGGTACGTTGACGAACTGGTGGACGAGCGGAGGCGGAGGGGGAGGGAGATCGGCTCTGTCGCCGTCTTCCTGGTGTGGCCGACGTCTCGGCAACTGTCTCTCCATCGTCGGGCTTAGGCGTCTCTGGATCTCTGGCAGGGTCATCAATGCTGGGCTGGCCGGCCGCGCTGGCGAACTCCAGCTGTCCCTTCCCGGCCGCGATTTCCTCCTTTTTCTGTGCTTGCGCTCGCTCTTGACCTTCGTCGTGCACCTCTGCCTTGAACCCTTCGTATTCTGATTCCTCCTGCTCGTCTCCTCCTTCTTCCGCCTCCTCGTCTGCTTCTTCCTCCTCTTCTTCCTCGCTCGGCTCGCCTTCGCTATGCTCGCTGTAACTCCCTTCTTCTGGAGTTTCTTCTTCGTTGTCTTCCTCCTCCACTTCTGCTCCGTCGTCGCCYTGTTCTTCTTCCTCTTCCTCCTCYGCTTCTTCCTCTATTACTTCGTCCTCGGCGGCCGTTTGATCGTGGAAGAACGAGGGATCGATAATTTCTCTCGGGTCCAGATACGCTTGTCGCGACTGCAGATGGCGGTCGTCTCCCGGCTCCTCCAGACAAGCGGACCACTATAGATATGGTGTCAGACTCCACGAACTGGGCTCGTGTCACTTTGCGAGACGATCTCCAAGGGGAGATTGTCTGCCAGCTGTGCAAGGGGGATCGTAAGTTCGAGGACGTGCGGCCGATGATGGCTGGGCCATACCGAGCCGAAAAGGAACCCGAGCAAGTCACCCTCCACGTCTCTCCTCCACGCCTGAATGATCAGCCACTCCAAACGTTCGCTCCACTCGCGTTGGTGTTCGTCCTGCGCCCACGGGACCTGTATCCCCACTAGGCACACCGAAAGCTCCACGAAGTGTTCGCGCCAAAGCCTCCACTGCCCAGGATCGAGAAGGGACTGCGAGAGGCTCTAGGAAGAAGGAAAAACGGGGATGGAGACTAGATTGCCAGAAGGTGGGAAAGAGAGATGGGAGCGCAAAGGTGGAAAGTGGGGAAGGGTTCATTGGGGACGTTGGAAGGGGACGAGTTCCAGCAGCTCCACCGCTGGCTTGTGCTCGAGCGCTCGGATTCCCCCGAGCTCGATGCCTTCTATGGGAAAAAGACTCTCCCTAGGGCGTGTGAGCGATCGATTCCACTCCACGACGAGTTGCTGCGCCCACCTCCTTGGTTGCGTCTTGATGTCACACAGTGCCACGTCAGACACAGTGCCACGTCAGCAGTGCCACGTTAGACAGTGCCATGTCAGCATTGCCACGTCAGATACAATGCCACGTCAGCAGTGCCACGTCGGACAAAGTGCCACGTCAGCAGTGCCACATCAGCAAGATGACAGGCCTGCCAGACCAGCTGGCCAATGAGTCTCTTGCCGGCTACAAAAAGCGGTTCCATGCTCAGCTTGCACTCACCGAGGCTGAGGAACAATGCCAGCTGGCAGCCGAGGCTACCCGCCAACAGGCTGAAGCAGCGGCAACCACAGAGAAGCTGTGGCTACAGGCCGAAGCAGACGCAGATACCCAGGCACGCCGCAAGGAAGCCCATTATCTGCTGCAGCGGCATGAGGCAGCAAGCATCGAGAAACTCAAGTTCTGGCTCTTTGAACCCAACGGCGACGCGGCCATACCGGAAGAGCAACACAAGGAGTTCCTCTCCAAGCTCGTGACACAGATGTTGTATGCATGCAACTACCAACGGTCCAAGCTAGAGAAACAGCACTCGAAGTTGGCGAGTCTCCGCCGGACAGTGCAGAGCCACGAGGATGCAACACGGGCACTCAATGCCCGTGTGCTGGACCTGGAACAAGCTGTGCCAGGACCAGATGCTGGTGTTTCCAGCAGTGCACCCTCCAACCTCCAACTGGAGGAACGCGTCGATCATGTAGTGGCAATCCTAGGTGACATCAGCACCTTCGCAGCGCCATCCACCATCAGCCAGCAGCTGGACACACTGAAGACCGAGATCAGGCAGCGACAACGGCCATCTGACCCCGATCGCAGCACCAGCACAGCGAAGCATTACAAGATGCCGACGTTCCAGATCGAGAAGTTCGATGATTACACACATAAGGACCCGGTCGTCTGGTGGCAAGGTTTTACGACAGAATTGGGGATTCATGAGGTCCCCAAACATCTGTTCATCGGCGCACTGTTCCTTAATGCCAAGGGAGGATGCCAGATCTGGCTTGGCCATATGGCAACCGTCCACGGTGTCGAGGTCTTCGACCTACACACAAAGATCTCCTGGGAGGATCAGACAAAGGAATGGAAAAAGCGGTTCATCGTGGACGACGCCCCGGCGCTCGCCATCAACCACATCTTCACGATGGCTCAAGGGAACACACCGACACGTGATTGGCTCACGGGTTGGCAGAAGATCGTGGCGACGCCCGATTTGGACTTACCATTCCCACATTTGCGCCGAGAGTTCTACAATAGATCATGCGCCGCTTTGAGCCTCGCACTTGGTGATCACGAGCAGTACAGCACCTTCGCCGAAATCATCAACAAGGCAAGGAAGATCATCAAGATCAACAGGGCAGCTGCACACGAGAAGTCAACATGGCAGCCCACCTTTGTGGAGAAGCTGAAGACTGTTCCGTGGCCGCAGCATGTCGCTGCAGTCCATACGGATAGTGAAGAAGACCTCGCAGCCACTCCAGCATCACGTGAGGGAGATCAGGTGGCTGTTGTCCAGCCAAGAAGCAACAACAAGTCCTGGAATAATGGGAAGGTGAAATCCGCATCGCAGGCTGGAAATGGACAGCCAGCACCATGGGTCAAGTTCAACTTGACCGAGGCCGAGTACAAGTTCCGCGGCCGTTACGGCTGTTGCTACTGGTGCAATAGCACCAAGCACRAGACGTCCCTCTGCCAGGATCAGGGCAAGGAGGATGTGCGGCCTCGTCTCAACTCGGRAAACTGAGTTTCGCGGGAGGTGAGGCGACTCCACCTTCCACTCCGCCAGATCCGGCCGCCTTGCTAGCGGCCTCCTACACATCTGGGGAGGATGCGAATGTCGCAAGTTCTCGGTACACTTACGAGGACTATGATGTCCACTTGGTCCCACCGTTGGACCAACCGCTCCACGTGCAACAATCAACCGCATGCACGGTTTCATCACCATCGGCAACCGAGTCGGCAACTTCACCGCAATCTATCACCGGGATTCAACATCATGGTCAAGACTTGAGGAGTTCGACCCGTTGACGTTCACGGACTTCCAATGGATGTCCGTTCCCACGACCGGTTGATTGCCGAAACCGCATTGCAATGTGCTCATGGCACAATTGCGGGATTACTTGCACACTGTAGTACCAGCTTCGTTGATGGACGCCGGAGTAGAGGTTGTCAACCTTCACGCCTACATTGCGAAGATCGACCGCGAGTTCAAGACGCAACGGTACAACGACATCGACGCACCATTGCTATATGTACGCATTCAGATCGGAGAGGCGACCTGCAGCGCTTTGATCGATTGCGGAGCATCTCGCAACTACATTAGTCAGGATTTCATGGTGCGCGCCGGCCTTGGCCCACGCGTCCGGAGGAAGTTCCAGCCTACGCAAGTCACGTTGGCGGACGGTCACACACACAAGTCGACCGGTGCATCGATGAAGTCCCAGTATACTTTGCCCCTCACGCAAGTGAGGCGGTGTCCTTTGATATATTGGACACCAAATTCGACATGATCTTGGGCATGTCATGGCTGCGAAGCAAGGATCACCCGGTGAACTTCTACAACCGCACCGTTTACGTTCGTGATCGGAGCGGAGTACTAGTCCCATGCAYGGTGCCTCTTCCTCATYCTTCGATCAGCTGCCACGTGGTATCCRCTGCAAGCATGCGAGCTTCCATCATCRGAGACGACATCGAGGAGATGGGGGTGTGTTTTCTCCATGCCCTCTCGCCCCGAGACGCTTCATCGACGGACTCATCTTCGGATCCACGCATCATCGAGCTTCTAGATGCCTACAGCAACATGTTTGAAGGCCCGCACTGAGTAGTACCGGATCGACCAATCCGCCATGAGATCATCCTCGAGGACGGAGCCGTACCTCCGCGCGGTTGTATCTACCGAATGAGCGAGGAAGAGTTAAGTGTGCTTCGGGCACAACTCGATGACCTTCTGGAGAAAGGGTGGATTCGGCCTAACTCATCGCCATACGGTGCTCCTGTTCTCTTTGTCCGGAAGAATGAAAGGACTTGCGGTTGTGCATCGATTATCGCAAGCTCAACGCGCAGACGATCAGGAACATCGGCCCTCTCCCACGCATCGACGATCTTCTCGAACGACTGGGTGGCGCCAAGTTCTTCTCCAAGCTAGACCTTAAGTCGGGATATCACCAACTCGAGATCCGGCAGGAGGACCGTTACAAGACCGCGTTTAAGACGCGATATGGACATTTCGAATGGCTGGTTATACCATTTGGCCTTACGAATGCCCCGGCCACTTTCCAAGCGGCTATGGCAACAGAGTTTCGACACATGCTGGATCATTTTGTACTTATCTACCTCGACGACATTTTGGTGTACAGTCGGAGTTTGGACGAGCATGTGGAACACCTGCGCACCGTTTTGGAGCGGCTACAACAAGTACAAGGCAAACCGCGACAAGTGCGAGTTCGCACAGCAGGAGCTGGAGTACTTGGGACACTATGTGACATCGAAAGGCATCCGTCCGCTTCCGGACAAGATCGAGGCCCTACGAGTATGGCCCGAGCCCACCAACACCACGGACGTTCGTTCATTCATGGGGTTGGCGGGCTACTATCAGCGATTCATCACCGGATACTCCAGGATTGTTGCACCTATGACAAGGTTACAGTCGCCAAAGGTGCCATTCGTATTCGATGACGACACACGCCGGTCATTCCAAGCACTCAAGACGGCCATGCTCATGGCACCTGTCCTCAGCATCTATGACCCCGTACTGCCAACGAGAGTGACTACGGACTCTTCCAACTATGGCATTGGGGCAGTCTTGGAACAACACAACGGCGACGACTGGCACCCTGTGGAGTATTTCAGCCACAAAGTGCCTCCCATCAACTCGCTTGATGATGCAAGGAAGAAGGAGCTGCTCACATTCGTGATGGCTCTCAAGCGCTGGTGGCACTTCCTCCTTGGGCGTYGTAGGTTCACATGGGTCACGRACAACAATCAATTGACYTACTACAAGACGCAGGATACGGTGAGCCGCACAATCGGACGATGGATGTACTTTATCGACCAAYTTGACTTCACACCGAAACATCTTCCYGGACTCTCGAACCGCGCAGCAGATGCACTCTCACGAAGACCTGATCTTTGCGCCATGACACATCATGCCTTCGCATTCGACGAGGAGCTTCAGCGACACTTCATCCGGGCATACGAGTCGGATCCGGACTTCGCCACGCTATATGCACAACTATCTTCGGATCACCCACCGGCCAGCCACTATCGCATTGCCGAC